CCCGCCCGTGCCCTGCCCTGCCCTGCCCTGCCCTGCCCTCCTCCTCTCTGCTGTGTAGTTGCGTACTGCCTGGCTGGTAAACACACTCAAGCAGCGTGAGCGTGTCTACCAGCCAGGCAGTACGCAACTATGTATTGATACTCATGATAATAATAAAACTTACTTAATTAGAAAATAGTCCAAGTATTTTCTCAAATTGTTTCCCAGACAGAAAGCACAAATATTGGACTGTCTGGTTCAAAACCAGACACTTGGCAACCCTACCTCTATAGCTCAGTTAAATGCTAATTTTCACGTGAGCGTGTCTACCAGCCAGGCAGTACGCAACTATGTATTGATACTCATGATAATAATAAAACTTACTTAATTAGAAAATAGTCCAAGTATTTTCTCAAATTGTTTCCCAGACAGAAAGCACAAATATTGGACTGTCTGGTTCAAAACCAGACACTTGGCAACCCTACCTCTATAGCTCAGTTAAATGCTAATTTTCACTTTACAAATATACTGTACTGGTTACTATTGTATTCTTCCTATAATCATCTCCAAAACTAGAAGATACTGGGCACAACTGTTAGCAGCACCACCTGCTGAGCAACAGGAGCTATAACATAGGCTTGGCTATGGTAGAGGAGAAAAGAAGCCCAGTTGTAAGTGCTTTTGGGGTTACTAGACGCCTTCTAGAAACCATTAAAAGAAAAGAGCATTTTTGCTTTCATAAGGCAAAGCACATTTAGCCTGTTACAATGCAAGAAATTTGATTATACACTTGTGAGCAATTCCATGCAAAAAAGTCTCAGTATAAAAAACAATTAAGACTGCAGGCAAGATAATGAAAATGTAGGAAATGCAAAAATAAAAATTCCTGGAGCAATATTAATTTTGCTATACTCCTCTTATGTTCTTTGCTGTGTCTATTTAATGATGTAAACAACAATTCAAAAGGCACTCATTTTGACAAGAAAATCAGAAATATAACATATGCAATTCAGGTGAGTTAATGTTAGAACCTTTGTATCTCCATTTACAGATTTTTGTATGTGATTTTTTTTCAGTGGTGCAATCCAACAGTTTGCAAATCCAACAGCTTCACTCTGGAGTTTTTGGGCTAGCACTGCAGGTTCCGAAGGAAACTTGTAAACTCTGAATTTGTTCCATGACCCACAGAGAATGAGAGGGTGGGGGGAGAGTTTGGCTGCTAGTTAGTCATATGTTGGGTTGAGGGTTTGTGAATCATTTTGGAGGTTTGGTATGAGTTTGGATCAGGACTCTTCTCATAGGATGAAAGGATTTGACACCTGAAGGAGTAAGGAGATGTGGATTTATATTTCTGACCTGAGCCAAATGCAAGGAGCAGAAACTCTTGGTTTTTCTGATGTATGTAGGATCAGATGTACAGTTTAGTCCTGCATTTCCTGGGATATACAGAGGGGTAATGAGAACTGTAATAAGAATTCATCCTGTGGTGGCATAAGACTTCTTTATGAAACATTTAAAGTTAAACTTCTTCCAGTTGTTGTGCATGTTCCCATTTGTGCAGAGATGTTGAAGTAATGAGGATTTCAATAAATTGCATTTATTGAAGTAATGGGGATTTCAAGAATTCCTAAGAATTTAACAGCACAGTGTTCTTTCTCATTGTTACCCAGTGTGTTCCCCATTTTATTTGTTATGGTTCTCTAACAAGTTTTTGGAATGATGCATATCGTTTCTAGAGACACTTGCTACTTCTTTGGCTTGAACAATGGCTATAGAAATGCCACATCATTTCTCTAGGTTTGTATGTATTTTGTAGTGGCTAATTTCATTACTTTAAGTAATTACTTACAATGATGCAAATTTAACTCTTTGCTCTGGTAGTGAGTCTAACCCCACTAGAATTATTGAGCCAATTGAGAAGGATTCCCATTGAGGAGTAAAAGTAATAATGACTACACTATATATCACTGAAAACCATTGCTAGCTGTGTGAAAGGTCGATTTTAGAAGGAGGTGTTGAGGGTGTGAGTTTTAGATATTTAACTGAAGTCATTATTGTCCAATTTTCTTTTTTTGTAACCACTCCTCAAGTCATGAAAGTTCACTTTTAAAAAATCTGAAACTCCCTTGGTCTGAAGTGGGCCTTCTGGCTTTCCAGAATACTGAATTCAGCTGAAGCAGAAAAAAAGGCTGATTCAATGACATGATTCAGAAGCAATTTTTGACAATTAACATTAGAGAATGTAGAAGGGGAAAACTGTTCTTGGATTTGCATTTTCCAGCATTGCATCTCTTTTGACATGTCTTTAAACACTTCTGTTTTTGTTATAGATTTCTACTGGTGCTGATTTGTTTAATTTTCAGTGTACTGTCTACGATAGAACATTATTCAGAATTTGCCACTGGGACCCTTTTCTGGATGGTAAGTGTACTCTAAAAAAATATTTATTTTGGTGACACTTCTGCTATTAATTTTTTTGTAAGCTGAAAACAAGGAAAAGAGATGGAGAAATCTATGGGCAGTCCATTAGTAAGACTAGGGAATTTAAAATACTAGCTACTGCTTCTTATGGAAAAGTTATATAGAAATTAAGGATGAAATAAAGTTACTTAGAAATTACTCTACAAATATATATAATCTGGATATTCATAGTGTTGCTGTTTTCATTGTTTTCTTTTTGAATCCAGAAAAAACAATATTGATTATCTAGTCTGACTTGCATAACGCAGGACACCTGGCCTGTGTCTAGACTGGCAAGTTTTTCTGCAAAATCATCTGCTTTTGCGGAAAAACTTGTCAGCTGTCTACACTGGCCGCTTGAATTTCCGCAAAAGCACTGACGATCTCATGTAAGATTGTCAGTGCTTTTACAGAAATACTATGCTGCTCCTGTTCGGGCAAAAGTCTTTTTCTGAAAGACTTTTGCGCAAAAGGGCCAGTGTAGACAGCACAGTACTGTTTTCCGCAAAAAAGCCCCGATCGTGAAAATGGCGATCGGGGCTTTTTTGCAGAAAAGTGCATCTAGATTGGCCACGGACACTTTTCCGCAAAAAGTGCTTTTGCAGAAAAGCGTCCTGCCAATCTAGATGCGCTTTTCCGAAAATGCTTTTAACAGAAAAGTTTTCCGTTAAAAGCATTTCCGGAAAATCATGCCAGTGTAGACGTAGCGCTGGTGTTTCTTGTTTTAAGACTAATAACTTTTGAGCTAAAGCACATCAAGGTATGCAATCTTTAAAAGGTGTCCCATTTCCAGGAAAATATTTCTTTTTTGCAACAGACAGTGCAAATTGCTAAAGGATTATGATCTTCCACGGTATTTGAGTCTCAGGATATGTCTACACTGAAGAGATTTTTCAGAAAAACAGCTGTCCACACTGCAATCGAATAATTAAAAAAAATCAAAAGAACAGAGGGGTTTTTCCAACACTGATAAACCTCTTTCTATGAGGAAGAAGCCTTTTTCCGAAAGAGCTCTTTCAGAAAAAGGCATGTATGGACGGGGAAGAGGGAGTTCGTTCATATGAAGAGGAAAGAGGAAAAAGCACAGGTGTCCTGGTGGCCACTCCATCCATAGTAATCACAGTTTACATGTGAGATAGCGTCCATTCAGTGTGGCTGCTCTCTTTTGAAAAAGCAGATCACTTTTTTGATGCTCTTTTGCAGTGTGGACGCTCTATTTCGGAAAAAGTTTTTTTGGAAGATCTCTTCCTGAAAAGCTTCTTCCGAAAGAAGCCTGCAGTCTAGACACAGCCTCAGTGGTAAGCATTCTCTGGCACAGTGATTTGGTGTCTAGACTGAGCATGACACTGAGCATGAGTATCAGGGATATGAACGACTAGTCAACTATCTGATAAGTGATAGTCGACACTTCCCCCCACTTGCTGGCTTTTTCAGAAAGAGGCAGCAAGCTGGGGGAAGAGCACAGGGGCTGCAGGTTTGTATAATTTTTGGTGGTGCCCTGTTAGCCATGCCCCCTGGACCCCCATTAGCCACGCCCCCGGATACCCATTAACCAGGCTTCTGGAGGTAACATGCTATTAAAAATGCACCCTTTTTTTCTGGGTTATCCACACAAACACCAAACTAGCATAAAGTGCTACATAGTCCTGTATTTTGTTTCAGCTACACCAGACTAACACGGCTACATTTCTATCACCATAGTAGCCTAAGCATGGAACGAACCCATTGTGGATTCCATTGTGCATCAAATATATTATATTATGTTTTGTTGTACCTGTTGTGACGAAGTGGGAATATTCTTAATGTTTTCTCTGATGGACACATGACCAGAAGTAAAGTCCCCTCTCTAAGGACTTTTCCCACCATCCTCCTACCAATAGGGATTAGTTTGGTCCCCACTAAACCACCCTCATGCAACTATCCTGCAATTGCATTAACCCACTGTGTGTGATACTAACTTGGGGGCAGAGAGGCTGGGGGAAGTGTTCCCTCTAAGAGTTTCCTCCCATGAGCAGAATGAATTTTGTGTTGTGCACCAGTATTGAGTTCATGTGGCTTGTTTGGATGTGCCACTGTGGCACCCAAGTTATTAATAAATATCTTATAAATCTTTACCTTTTCCCTCTGCTGCCATGTCTCATTTCCTTACTCCATCAGCTTCCATGGTGCCTGCTGCCCCCCAACCCCTCACCCTCCTCTGCTGTCCTGACTTCTGCCCTTCTCACTGCCCTCACCTCATCCCCTCTCCTAACACCTCCCTCTATACACCTGCTCTGCCTCTCTTCTCTGGTGCTGGTCCCTCCCCTGCAGGTGTCTGCCCTTCTGCTTCACCCCCAGAATCCCCTGGCACCTGCACCTTCCCTTAGCCCTGCACTCTCCTGGTGCCTCCCCTTCCCTCACTGCCCCGACCCCTTTGCCCTCTTTTTCCCTGATGCCCACCCCTCATCACCCTCTGCCCCCATTCTCCTCATGCCCCTGTGCCCTCACATATGACTTGCTCCATCCCTGCCTTCCTCATGCCCACCCCTTCTTTCAAGCCTTCTCCCAGCACCACCCTCTTCCCCCTTTAGCCCTCAATGCCCTTACCCTCTCCTCTCCCAGAATCACCATGTTCCCACCTCCCCATCTCCCTTTTCCTCAGTCTCCACTTGGCCGCCTGGCATTTGTTTCTCCTCCACCCTGTCCCTTGGTACCTTCCCCTTTCTTCTCCTGACCTGCCCCCCTCCCCTCAGCACAAGCTCCTTCCTCTCCCACCCCTTCCCCGTCCCCACCCCACCCCACCTTCTTCCTTCCAGTTTGCAGCGCTGGAGTCTGTGATCGGGCCCCAGCTGCTGCTGGGCCTGGAGCTGGGTCGCGTGGTGCAACTCTGGGCCATGCAGTTTTAAAGTCCCAGGCCGTGACATCACACTATGCCCGGGCGTCTCCCCTCTCAGCTGTTGTGCAGCGTTTCAGCATGCCGCGCATGCGCAGCTTTCATTCCGACAGGGATGTTCCTGGGCAGGGGCGGGGGGGAGGGATGCGTGGGAGAGGGGGGAGAAGCACGTGGAGGCTGAGGCCCACTCCAGGCAGGGCCGGGGGAGAGACCCAGCTCCAAATACTGGTGGAGTAGGGCCCCCAGCTCTGAATATTGCTGGAGCATGGGCACCATGAGCCCATATAACTCGCCGCCTATGGAAGAGCAGGGTTGCTTCAGAGCTGCAGTGCCACATGGAACCTGGGGCCAGACCCTTGGACTTCCACACTGACCCCGGCCTCCATGCGGTGCTGCCGCTTTGAAACATTGTGGGGAGCATGGTGCCAGCAGGGGACTGCTTGAGTCTCCCGCTGGCCCCGTGCTCCCTACAGCACTTCTGCCTTTGAAGTGTTGCAACAGCCCCAGGACTGTTGCTACTCTTAAAAGGTGGACATGCCTTTATCAACTAATTGAAATTGCATCAACTGTTCCATTAGCCAATCAACCTAATTTAACTTTCCTATATCAGAGCCAAAGAAATCACATCAATGCCTCTTATAATTAGTGGCAGCTTTTTTAACAGAAACAAGTCTAGTCCACACTTCTCCCATGTGTCACTGCTCCCCCTTTCAGATTTTAGGCCAAATGAGTCCTGTGCTTGTTTGGGCTCACAGCTGTGATATATTTTCTAATGTCTCAGGCTTTTCTTAAATTTATTTAGTATTTTTCAAAAGGAAATTGTAATATTGTCAGCCGACGGTCGGGGTCCCATCACAGAGGGTGGCCAGCAGGCCAACAGATGCCCCGTTATATAGGAAGAGCTTATTACACCTTAGATTTTAGCTGCTAGAACACAGGGGTTCCTTCGCAGCGGGCAGCTTAGGAAAGGCTGAAAAGGTGCCCCAATGGATCTTGTCACCTGGGAGTGACACCGATCCAAACGCCCAAGCTCTCCCTATGTCTGTCCCTTTATGACCGGCTGAAGTTCTTTTAAATTGTGCTTGGTTCTGTTACAGCAACTGAAGGAGTCAGGTTAAAGCTTAAACAGTTACAGGTTTATTAAAAGACTTATAAAAGCATATGGTTACAATGGCTATTGCTCTATTTCTTAAATGCTAGCAAATATAAATATAGATTTTAAAAATGGTTACAGGAAAAAGGTAAAGATAGAAAATAGAAATAATGGTACCAAGTGACAGCTTAATCTTTAAAGAGCTCTAACACTATGTATATATATACTTAAGCAAAGGACCACATCCAGGTACAATTTTTACCCCTTTCTGTGCCTCTCGACTCCAGCGTGTCAGGCCAGGGCCGGTCTCTCAATTCCTAGGAAAGACGAATACGAGTTGGGCGTCCCCTTGGAACCTCGGGAGATCAAACACCTAACCCGACCAGCAGATAGATGGTAGATTGACACTCAGAGAAAATGCGCTGCTGGACCCATCTATATACCACTGGGGGCCCGTATTCTCTTTCTTATCTAAGATGCAGAATTCTACTGGTCCGTTTTGTGGCGCCAGTTCTTACAAGCAAGTTTCAAGTTAATTTACACTTGCAAGAGAGATAACTAAATTGTGAGCACTAGACATTTTTTTACTGGGCGAGAGATTCCTCCCCCCGCGGATGGATGTGTGTTCGTATCAATATGGGTTTGAGTCAAGGGCACTCCTTGGCAGCCTCTTGGTCAGCAATTGGCGTATCTCTGTTTACAGCCATTCACGGTCACACAGCCTGGGCCTTCTGCTCTGTGTGCCCTGGATGCTCCAGGCAAGCAAAAATGGATGTTACAAGGGGGGGGGGGGGTTCCTGTCTGGCTACAAATATGCATTGCTCATCTATAGAGTCCTTGGTCTCACTAGCCATGACTACACTATGTAGAAGATTCACACTGCCACAGTCGATCTTCCAGGGTTTGAATTAGCGGGTCTAGTGAAGCCCTGCTTATTTGAACTGAGAGGGTGCCACTGTTGGTACAGGTAGTCCTGCTCCTGGTGAGGAGTAGGGGACGTTGATGGCAGCAAATGCTCCCGTCAACCTCCCACTGTGTGGATGGCCCGAAAACATGATTTAAGATACTTTGACTCCAGCTATGTAATTAATGTAGCTGGAGTTGCGTATTTTAAGTTGACTTTCTCCTTTATTGTAGACCAGGAATCCATTGTCATTGCCATTAGGAGCCAACAATTACATCTTGTTATGGTGAAGGACAGTTGGCCATTTGGAATTGGACAGAGGTCACTAACTCATTTCACAGTGGTCACTGAACAACCCTCAGATGGTAATAGGCCGAGGCTAGCTTTGCATATTCAGATGAGAGGTGCCTTATCCTGGAAAGGAACACCAAAGCATAGGGTACCTTTTAGCCTTATAAACACAAGATGAGTAGCATGTGCATAGCACTTACCACAAAAAGTTGTTATAGTCTGTATGATTTTGAGCAATGCTGTTTTTGAAGCTAGTGAGAAGTAAAATGTGGAAATGTGAATATGAGGGTCTCAGAGAACCTCCTCATAGCCCCTAAAGGAGACTTAGTAATGGGAATGGTTGATGAAGCAGCCTTTACTGAAGTCATATGAAGTGCACCATAATAATTCATGTTATCTAAATCAGTAGTTTTCATCCTGTGGTCCACAGGCCCTTGGGGTCCCCAGACTATACCTAAGATTTTCAAAGGGGCTCATACTTCCATTGGAAATACTTTAGAGGGCTGCAAATGAAAAAAGGTTTCTACAGATCTACATTTATAGCAGCTCAGATCTGCTGAGCTCACCGCGTAACATATTGCAACAGCTATTTTGGGATTTTTGCTTAAAGTGGTGATTTCCTTATGTGATGGATTTTTGCACTTTAAAGCTGGCTTGAGAATCAAAGCTAGGCACCCGTGTACTTCACTGGAGCTTAATCTTCATTAGTGCATGAAGTCTTTACATGTGATGGACTAAAACCATCATTAGATTCCCAGGGTTATTTGTATGCATTTGTCTAATGACAATGCTGTAGCAAATGTTACTTGGCTTTGCTCAGTCAAACAAAGTTCAATATTGTTCATGTGAAAGTCTTTGAAAATCTAGTAAACTGGTAATGGTAAGTTACATTGAGTCAGAACCTGAAATAATGATACTGAGAGAAAGACAGTGTTGGCTTCTGTTTGTACACTGTTTACGGGCATGTATGTGTACATATAATATTTTTAGTAAATCTAATACTTGTGAGAACTGCCAGGTTAACATTCCTAGTAACTTCAAGTCCTGTGGTTTTTTTTTATTGTTGTCCCCTCCTCTGCCCATCAAATTGGTAGAGCATTAGCAATGACAGTCTTAAGACAGTCTCTGTGCCACTCTGTCAAAGTGTTGCAGCCCTAAGCTGAAAGGCCATCTCTCTGGGACATGTGTAGTGTCACTTCCGTGCCAGCCAACCCTTAGCTTCCCTGCTCAAGTCACCTGACAGACTCATTGTGGCATTAGCTATTCTTATGGCTACTTAGGCAGAATAGAAGCAGATGGCTGACTTTCTAAAGATGATGCTGCATATTGTAGGTGTTACTGGAGAAGATACAGTTAAATGGAACTTATAGAAGGTGGTATGGTGTTCTGCATCGAGAGTGAGCTAAATGACAATCAATATAGTGTACTCATTGTGTCTTCCTATTCGGGGTCCTTCCTAAATTGTTATCTAATTTCAAAGTTGTAACACTTGCCCTTTCCCAGTTGGTGATGGTGACACCTGACCGTGGAAGTTCTACAACACACATTCAGACTGGAATATGGCTTCCTTTTTGAGATGCTAAGATGGTGGTCCAAATTCCACACAGGTGTTACAACTTTAATCTTAATGGAATTTTACGAGGGACAAATTTGGCCATTATGCATAGAACATAAAATTCTTATGCATTAATAGATATTTTAACATTATCCTTGCCTTTTCAAAGCTTATAAAAAGAATAATAAAAGCTAAGGCTGTTGAGCGATTAAAAATGAATTTTGATTAATTGCATGATTAATCACAGTGTTAAACAATAGCAGAATACCATTTATATAAATACTTTGGATGTTTTCTGCATTTTCAAATACACTTATTTCAATTACGACATGGAATAGAAGTGTACAATGATTACTTCATATTTATTCTTGGTTACATGTATTTGCATGGTAAATAAACAAAAAAAAATCAATTCACCTACTATAAGTACAGTAGTACAATATACATTTGAACTTACAAATGTAGAATTATGTATAATAAAAATTGCATTTAAATATAATGTAAATCTGTAATGCCTGCAAATCCCCTCAGTCTTATTTCCTGAAAATGAGAACAGGCATTTTCATGGCACTGTTGTGGCCAGCATCACAAGATATTTACATGCCAGATGTGTTAAAGATTCATCCATTTCTTCATGTTTTAACCACCATTCTGAGGAACCTGCATCCATGCTGATGACAGGTTCTCCTCAATAACAGTTCAAATCAGATTGATGCATGTACATTTTCATTATCGGAGTCAGATGCCACCAGCAAGTTGATTTTTCTTTTTTGGTGAAAGTGTTCTTAAAATTAACATTTGCTAGGGCATCACCCAAGACTGCTATAACATGAAATATATGGCAGAATGTGGGTAAAACAGAGCAGGGGACATACAATTCTCCCTAAAGTAGTCCAGTTACAAATTTAATTAACATATTTCTAATGAGCGTCATCAGCATGGAAGCATGACGTATGAATAGTCATATGAATGTTTAGCATATCAAGCATGTAAACACCTTGCAATGCCTGCTATAAAAGTGCCATACAAATGCCTGTTTTCACTTTCTTCTTATTTACAATGTCATAAAAGGCAGTGTTATATCTTGTGAGTGTACACAAACTTGTGATTGGCTGAACAAAAAGTAGGGCCTAGTGGGCTCTGAAGTGTTATGTTGTTTTGTTTTTGAGTGCAATTGTGTATCAAAATCTACATTTGGAAGTTGCACTTTCAGAACAAGAGGTTGTATTTTTTTTAATTCACCTTACACCAGTACTGTAGAGCAATTTCTTTTCTTTATAATTTTTACAGTGCAAATATTTGTAATAAAAATATACATTTTGATTTCAGTTATATCACAGAATACAATATATATGGAAAGGTAGAAAAACATCCAAAATATTTAAGCGATATTGGTTGGTATTGTTTAAGAGTATAATGTAAAACTGCGATTAATCGTGACAGGGTTTTTTTGTGTTAATTGTGTGAGTGAACTGTAATTGACAGCCCTGATAAAAACCCATTCCTCTATAAAACTCAGCATTCTATTTTCTTGCTGTGTGGAATCTATTGGCATTAAGGCAAATTATGTGCCTGTGTCAAGGGAAGAATACACTACCAAAACTTTGAAAAGTGAAGTTTCTGTAATGAGGGGGCTAAAGAGGCATGTAAACGACCCTAAATTGTCAGAGGCTGCAAATAAAAGCAACTGATACAATTTTAATCTAATTTGCAAAGAAATAGTGTTCCTGTGCTTATGACACTTTTTGTCAAATTACTCCTAAAGCAAGTTTACAAAGCTGAATGTAAAGTTATAGCCCTGAAGGTGACAGGCATATATCAGAAAAATTGTCACCTATGCTTTAAACCATTTAATCACAAAAGCTGATTGTCATTGCTCACAGGATATAGTAATTGCTGTACTTGAGGTGTTTGCTTTGGCTGGGAGTGAATTTTTGCTCTCTGGTAGTCAGGAAAGACAGGCATGGGCCATAATTTTCAATCAGATTAACAATGTGTTAAGATCATTTCTGTGTTTTTGGGACTGGTGAGATTGCTTGTCTTGAAACTACTTATTCATTTGCTGTTAGCTGAGAGAGATGTGCCCTATCTTTCAAAATGAACTCTTTTCCAGCAGACCAATACCATGCATATTCATGTCACTTAGCTGTTATGAGCTTGTTGGTAACTCCTTTGCTTGATGAGATCATTTAGCTGGGAGGGAGTCACACTATGCAAGAGAAGTTATAGTATCTTAGCTGTTGATTATTTGCCATATTGGCAAGCAAGCCAGAATACAAGGGGCAATGACATCAGAACAATGTAATGTTCTTGGTAAATGGAAAAGTAGTGTATAATACTAATGTGACAAAGTTCCTCTTCAGCTTTGGTGGGTCCTACACTTTCAGGTGAATTACTTGCCTCAGGGGCTCACAGCAGCTCTCAATTTAGACACCAACTTGCTGTTTGTTGAGCTACTCTCATTATTGGCCATCATGGGGAAAAGCGGAAACCAAACTTCATAGACTATGTGGCCCCTCCAAGTGGTTCAGGGCAGGACAAACCCCTCTACCAAAACCCATGCAGAAATGGGGAGTTGGTGTATGTGTGAGGGGAACCAGGCTTGCCCTTTACTCTGGGGTCCAGCACAGGGATCCTGGGACAGCAGCTTTCTATATATGTCTCTGGTATCAGCTGTGACACAACTGTAAATCTCATGGCCACTTCCTCAGCACCTTCCTTACCATAGGTTCTTACTCTTGGTACCTTGCACTCCCTCCTCCCAAACTCTCCACAACACTTTGACTCATCAGCTCCTTCCTTGCACTAAGCTAACAGAGAGGAAGCCTTTTTAAACCAGTCTCAACTGGTTCTTACTTTGCTCCCAGATATTAGATTAGTCTGGCTCTCGCATGTTTGGAAGCCTCCTAATTGATTCCAGGTGTTTTAATTGGCCTGATTGCTGACTGATTCCAATTATGCATAGAACATAAAATTCTTATGCATTAATAGATATTTTAACATTATCCTTGCCTTTTCAAAGCTTATAAAAAGAATAATAAAAGCTAAGGCTGTTGAGCGATTAAAAATGAATTTTGATTAATTGCATGATTAATCACAGTGTTAAACAATAGCAGAATACCATTTATATAAATACTTTGGATGTTTTCTGCATTTTCAAATACACTTATTTCAATTACGACATGGAATAGAAGTGTACAATGATTACTTCATATTTATTCTTGGTTACATGTATTTGCATGGTAAATAAACAAAAAAAAATCAATTCACCTACTATAAGTACAGTAGTACAATATACATTTGAACTTACAAATGTAGAATTATGTATAATAAAAATTGCATTTAAATATAATGTAAATCTGTAATGCCTGCAAATCCCCTCAGTCTTATTTCCTGAAAATGAGAACAGGCATTTTCATGGCACTGTTGTGGCCAGCATCACAAGATATTTACATGCCAGATGTGTTAAAGATTCATCCATTTCTTCATGTTTTAACCACCATTCTGAGGAACCTGCATCCATGCTGATGACAGGTTCTCCTCAATAACAGTTCAAATCAGATTGATGCATGTACATTTTCATTATCGGAGTCAGATGCCACCAGCAAGTTGATTTTTCTTTTTTGGTGAAAGTGTTCTTAAAATTAACATTTGCTAGGGCATCACCCAAGACTGCTATAACATGAAATATATGGCAGAATGTGGGTAAAACAGAGCAGGGGACATACAATTCTCCCTAAAGTAGTCCAGTTACAAATTTAATTAACATATTTCTAATGAGCGTCATCAGCATGGAAGCATGACGTATGAATAGTCATATGAATGTTTAGCATATCAAGCATGTAAACACCTTGCAATGCCTGCTATAAAAGTGCCATACAAATGCCTGTTTTCACTTTCTTCTTATTTACAATGTCATAAAAGGCAGTGTTATATCTTGTGAGTGTACACAAACTTGTGATTGGCTGAACAAAAAGTAGGGCCTAGTGGGCTCTGAAGTGTTATGTTGTTTTGTTTTTGAGTGCAATTGTGTATCAAAATCTACATTTGGAAGTTGCACTTTCAGAACAAGAGGTTGTATTTTTTTTAATTCACCTTACACCAGTACTGTAGAGCAATTTCTTTTCTTTATAATTTTTACAGTGCAAATATTTGTAATAAAAATATACATTTTGATTTCAGTTATATCACAGAATACAATATATATGGAAAGGTAGAAAAACATCCAAAATATTTAAGCGATATTGGTTGGTATTGTTTAAGAGTATAATGTAAAACTGCGATTAATCGTGACAGGGTTTTTTTGTGTTAATTGTGTGAGTGAACTGTAATTGACAGCCCTGATAAAAACCCATTCCTCTATAAAACTCAGCATTCTATTTTCTTGCTGTGTGGAATCTATTGGCATTAAGGCAAATTATGTGCCTGTGTCAAGGGAAGAATACACTACCAAAACTTTGAAAAGTGAAGTTTCTGTAATGAGGGGGCTAAAGAGGCATGTAAACGACCCTAAATTGTCAGAGGCTGCAAATAAAAGCAACTGATACAATTTTAATCTAATTTGCAAAGAAATAGTGTTCCTGTGCTTATGACACTTTTTGTCAAATTACTCCTAAAGCAAGTTTACAAAGCTGAATGTAAAGTTATAGCCCTGAAGGTGACAGGCATATATCAGAAAAATTGTCACCTATGCTTTAAACCATTTAATCACAAAAGCTGATTGTCATTGCTCACAGGATATAGTAATTGCTGTACTTGAGGTGTTTGCTTTGGCTGGGAGTGAATTTTTGCTCTCTGGTAGTCAGGAAAGACAGGCATGGGCCATAATTTTCAATCAGATTAACAA